CACACACACACACACACACACACACACAGAGGGTGTTTCGCAAAATGTTTTCATCATCGTCCTTCGCCGCAGCGTAGCTGCAGCAGGTCCACTTGTACGCTAATAAAATTAAAAAAAAAAGAACTACTTCCGAAAACAATGACAAGTCAATAACGTGAAAACAAAACAAATAGAAATCCACAGAAAATGAACTCGAGCTTCCTCAATAATCATTATTAATATATTATAAATAAATAAAGCATTCATTATCCGTAAATTAACATACACGAATGGATGGAGAGGGATTCGACCCCCCGACATTTTGTAATATGCAATAACCCGCAGAAATGCAGATTGTTTGTCTTTTTTTTAACCGGTCAGAACAGATACTACACTTGATCTTAGCCAAAAGGCCTGTGAATCCTGTGCTTTTCTGAGTTCTCAGTACTTTTTACCATTCTTCTGCGCACTTGCTGAAACTTCTGCTTTCTGGGTCCGTTCTGGTGTGGCGATTGCCGATATCTGTGGTCCATGTGGTTGTCTGTCTGTCTGGGTGCTTGAGTGTGTGTGCAGCTGGGTATGTTGGCCGGCACGATGTTTGGGCCCCCGGGCCTGGAACTAACCCCTGTTGCCGTGTGTTGGCCTGTGCAGCAGGTAGCTTAGGGATAGGTGGGGCGGGCCCAAGGCAGCCAAATCAAGCAGCAGCGGAGAAGCAGGCATAAAAGGACAAAAAGGTAGCAGCTTTAAGTAGGCGGAGGTAGTGCCCTGAGGTCCCGTAGGTCTAACAGTAGGTTCTACAAGGTACCAGCCTGAGAGCCTGAGTAAGGTCAGAAAAGGGTCTAGGTCTAGGGGCTGGAGATATAGTACATCAGTCTGAAATGGTGTTCCCAGCAAAATGGAGGGGAACCGGTAGGGCGTAGAGGCCGAGCTGCCTGGAAGTCACGGCAGTGAGTTGCTCCACCTCATACTACCTGTCACAAGGCAGCAATGCTGCTGCTGGCCTGTGTGCTTGGCAAGTGAAGCACAAAGCACCAGGAGCAAGGTGTAGCTCCCTCCCACCCACCCTGGCTATGATGTTGGAAGCCAGGGCAAAGTAAGAGGAGGGGTGAATGGCTATGAAGGCATGAGGCGGAACGAGGAGGAGAGGCTGAAGAAGAAGAAGAATTACCTTGGCTACGGAGAACTGCATCGTCATCATCTTTGTTGGCGCTGCACCTAGAAGGCCCTTGGATGGGGTTCCAATGTATGGAGGACTTCCTATGGATGAGAAAGCTTGGCAGTGGCTGCGGCAGGAGCCATAAGAGCCTTGCATTGTGCTGTGAACATCCGGGCTAGGCCTGGATGAGCCGCCATAGCCGGATGTCCAAGTAATGGGAGGAGGTATAGGAGGTCAAAGTAGGACTTCTTGTGATGCTGGCTGTATGGCAGAGAATTCGGACATTTAATTTTGGCTCATTCACTCATTGTTCGTAATTATGTTACGACCCAGGCTATCTGCAAATGAAGTAACTCAAGGAAAGACAATGTCGCTCAATTGCAAGTGAAATGAAAGAACTTGGAAGGAGAAATAGTCAAAGGAAGAAGAAGAAATAAGAATGGAAGAAGAAGAAGAAGAAGAAGAAGAAGAAGAAGAAGAAGAAGAAGAAGAAGAAGAAGAAGAAAAAGAGAAGAAGAAGAACAAGAACAAGAACAAGAAGAAGAAGAAGAAGAAATGAACACCAGCAAAGACCAGTAGCAATCCCCTTCATCTTGCCACCATCTCCGGCCTCCACTTACCTTCTTAACTTCTTCTTAACAATAAAAATAAAATAACAATGAAAGAATGAACCAGAACCAACGTGTGAATCCTCTCCTTACTCCCAGCCAACTGAAGAGGTTCATCATAGCCATCTCATACACCTTCCTCCTCCAAGTAGGTGGCTATGGCGACCCACAAAGCAAAGCTGCAATGTTTAGAGGACAATGCAAATCTAATGTTCCCCTCCTACTATGGCCGCCATGTCTATCAGTACCTCAAATTCTTCCTTGCAGGAGCCAACCCCAACTGGGGCCTTCCAGGTGCAGCCCCAACCAAGACGATGAAGATGCAGACCACCATAACCAGGTTTGCACCTCCACCGTTCTCCTCCTTGGTCACCATCTTCCTCCTCCTACTACTACTCCCCCGGAATCTCCTCCTTGGTTTTTGCCACCATAGACAAGGTGGAGGGCCAAGCCCGCCTTCTTCCTTCCCAGCGCTCCAAAACTGAGAGCTCGCTCCTCCAGCCTGACACCCAAACTGCACGCTGCCAAATGAGGAAGAACTCTTCGCTCTCCCCCAAGATACACCAGACTACTGCCTCTTCGGGCGCTGACTTTCCAGGCCGTACGGCCTTTCGAGCTACCAGTACCTTTCCCGTTTCTGAGGGAAAAATCATTCCAGTCTGATATCCCCTCCTGCAAGCTCTAGACTCAGACTACTTGGACCCATACATTCGCTTCTAAGCCTACTAGACTCAAATTCTTCTGCCTACCTACCAGCTACTGGAGTGCTTTCCAACCTCCGCGGGCCTAGCCTACTAAATCCCACTGCGCCCTCACAAAAGCACGGCCACAGGTAAGTACCGGGCGCGGGGCCCTTCTCAGCACAAAAGTTCCCTGGTGGGTCTCACACTCACCCAAGCAGTCATGCAGTCATGCAAACAGACGGAAACTCAGCAATTATGCACACACACCTACTTACAGATCTCAGCAGAATGCAGGGATCTCAGCAGGTCACTCAGTCCAGCGGCAAAACTCAGAAAACAACAGAGTTCTCAGCCTGCAATTTCGCTGGTCATTACACTTACTGTTCATAAAGAAAATGATGATGGGGATGATGGGGGGAGAGAGATGGAGGCGAGCTGAGTGGGAAGTAACATTGGTTCCAGCTTTTTCTGCTTCCATTCCACATTCTTCCCTTGTCTTATTCCCAATCCAATATTTTTCATTTGAAGTTGCAATGGCATCATCTCTTTGTGAGTTTTGCATTGTGAGATTCCCAGGATCATAACAATCAAGACCAATACCTTAAACCACTCACGCATCCATCCAAACTTCAAGAAGCAAAGACCCTCTTCGAACATTTCTAATCCATTGCACATATCGTAAGTGAAGATAATATCCAGGATTGGGCTTCTCAATCCTGGTATGTCAAGTTAGTGCAAGCTAAGAGTCAAGTTCAAGCTCAGGGATCCATAACCTCTCTTCACCAGTCGGTTTACACACATCCTCCCAGGAGCCACCAGCCACACCTCCACCATCATGTAGCAACCATAGCAGCAACACTGAAACACACGACTGCTTCAGGCACTGACATCAAGGACGCTGGACAAGAGTACTTCACCGGTGGCGTTAGTTTTCTACGTTGTGCAGCAATCAAACAATGATTCACTCCTAAGCGCCATAGGTAGTCCTTTTTTTCCCCCACTGGACCATTTCTTAATTTCTTTCATGTCATCCTTGCGCAGGGGCCATGACGGTATTTCCTATACCGTTTAGTTATCGACAGCTGTCCCCAAGGACACAGATTGACACCTACTTCCTGAGCACCATTTCAGTGTTCTGATCACCATATTATTACAGTACAGTGCCATCCAAGCTGCACTCCACCTGTGCCATCAATGTTCTTCGCGGACTACCGGCCTGGTACGGTCTGCGAAGGATTGTAAGGAGGACTTTCTCACCTGTAATGCTCATAGTTCAAAATTTTTTGCATGAAATCTTCCGGCATTTGGCGATGGGCTCCCCAGTGTTTGAGGTCGCGAAGAAACTGTTGCACGTCGGTGAACCGGCTCAGCAACCACTCCAATGCAGTCTGCACTTGGCCAATCACCAAGGCCACCATGAAGAGACCCAGGCAAATGACCACCATAGAGAAAAGGCTTTCTCCGTAGTATCTACTCGGTGTCAATGATGCCCCGACCGTGCCCAGCAGCTTGGAGCCATAGAAAAAGCAGTAAGGCAACCGCTTCAACACGTTGTTACCTCGCACCACCTTCAAAACCTGCTCATATATGCCGTAATCAAAGTTAATTTTCCGTTCTTCTTGAAGATAAAGGCATTTTCCGATAGACATCATGTGCCCGGCACCTATCGTCTGATACACCTCACAATCCAGAACGCTCGGGTCGCATCGATCGGCCTTGCGACACTCTTCAACCATGCAGGCATAGACCCTCTGTAGGCCCAACAGGTACCAGGTAGAACCGACTGCATGGGACAGCAAGGCAAACAGCACTGCATACAGCACGGGTAGAGCATACCAAGTACCAAATACAAAACCGGTGCTCGCATGCATCATGAAAACGAGAGGGAAAAAGCTCACAATCCTTGGGAAGTACTGCAGAAAGACCACCATTCGCAACCACTCATTCAGGACCTGATTTGCATGTCCTGAACGAAGCATCTGGGGAATAATCACCCACAATATCACCTGCAGGGAAACGAACCACATCACATGAGTATACCCCCAGCTGTATATTAGCAATCCTGCATGATTATGCATGTTGAAATACTTTCAAAGTTTGCTAAAAAAAGGAGAAAAAAACTTTCAAAGCTTTGCCAAATGTAACAATGCCAAGGAGAGTCCCAGTGTTGTCACGCGGGGATCCCCGGGGCCCAAGCCAGGGTGGGGGATTCACCCCCGCACCCCCGCCGCGGGGATCCCTGACCCCCAGCCCCTCCAAATCACCCCCGCACGTGCCCC